TTTAGTCACCGCTAGTCATCTTTCCATCTGCTACACAATTAGCCAAGTGACTTCTACCAACGGGGCTCGAAAAAAAAATAGGTTTTCAAATGGAAACACAAAAGCACACGCGCAGGTACATAAAACGTCACCCATGTGACAAGAAATGTGGAGGATTCTACCAACATCTGGAAAAGTACTTAGGATTTTTTTTTTCTTTTTCATATAAGTGCATTCTCTGAGAAAATTAGGCTATATTTTAAAGAAGTCATTACATTATTGTCATCTCTACAGTATATAGATGAGAAATGATATTTAAAAAGAAAACACAAGCAGATTTGCAGCATAAAAATATTATGCTTCTGTATATAAATTATTTTCACATTCAGGGCAATGGGTATTCAGAGGTGTTACAACAGAACAAGTTCTTCATGAAGATGGAAATCACTGTTCATTTTTTTAAATTTGCTTTTAAAAATGTACTTGCTGCCAAAATCTCTGGACAAATGCATATCATTAAAATACATAAATAAAAACCAGGAAGAAAAGAAAAATAATAAGATGAAGAAGAACATACTAAACACAAAACCTCATATGGAGTTCCGAATGTGAATAAATTTCCACTCAAATCAATCTAAAGGAAAATAAAATAACCAAAATAAAATATCCATTCAAGCAAATATCCCTGTCTCTGAATAATCCATATTCCATAGACATGCTTAGAAAACAGAGTGCTAGCCTCTAAATCAAGATAGAAAACACTATGTCTTGTAAGTAGTGAGAATAAACACTGGGCTTTCATTGATTCAATAACCTTTTTTTTTTTTTTTTTGCATTCCCCTTTAATTTAGGCACAGCTTCCCAATCAACACTCTTTCCACCTTTTCTCAAATGTGGCTGGATTCCTGACCCACCAATATCACTATTGCCTTGTTAAAGAAATATCAATCATTTTCACCAGTGTCCACCCCAGATAAAAGTTGAGTTAGAATTTCAACCAAACATTGATTTCCTATAACATGACTATTTATAAGGCGGATGTACGTCTCAGGTTACACTCTTGGCTCCCTTGTTCTTGATGGAAATTGGCAAGTCATTCTCCCTTTCCAAACTCCAGGCTCCTTGGGGGCTTGTGCTATATTTAGGTGAGCAATTTTCTTTTTCAAGGATTAAAAACATCTCCTTCCACTTTTCTCTGACGGTCATTTCCACTTCCTTCCCACAAAACCTGGGACAGGACAGGCGGGGGAGATAGAGGGCTGGCTGGCTGACCATGAACTGCCAGCCCACGTGAGCACTAGAAAGCATTGGGGAGGTTATAGGGTAGAGGAGGCTGAGAGCAAGGATCCTGCTGTGCTGGGCCTGGGGCAGGACCCTGACCCTGCTGCTTTGTATTTGTGTGACCGCCTTAGAATCTCCCCGTGAGAAACAGGGCTAGCTTCTTCAAGACTGAGGATCTGGGCCAGGTGTTTTCTCTTCTTACTCTCACTATCAGTATAGCAGTTCTCCCTGTCCTGGGATCCTAACAAAGCACTTAGGAGCATAAAAGCAGTAGGCATTGAAACAGGAATGCCAATTTGACAGGTCCCTAAAGACACAATTCAAGTCAAAAGAGGGGGAGCCCAACACTTTGTCTGCCTTTTAATGTGACTTCCTGCAGCTGTTTTTGGACTTGTGGGTTTCTAAGGTATGTGGCAGAGGGGAAAGGTGAGAAGGGAGGGGACAAAGCTGTGGTCACTCTACCGGCTGCACTGAGCTGGCTTTTTGTCCAGGACACTAGACCCTGTGAAGCAAACCAAAAACGGGGCTCGGCTACAAAGCCTGTGGAGAACACCCCTGTAAAGTGCTGAGGGAACTTTATAGGGACCCCAGACATGGGGGGAGGGGCTTACGGGGTGACTGATAAAAAAGTCAGGTAGGCATTTGGCCAGAGAAAGGAGAAAACAAATAAAATTCCATAGGACCCTGGGAGAAGCACTGGTGCCAAGAACATAAATTTTATATATACTCTTGATAAAATTTCAATTTTATCCTCATAGTCAGGGGGAAAAAAAAACAGGTACCCAGTGATAAGAAAATTATCTACCAAAGAATGAAATTTCTGCAAGTGGCACTATATCCCTTTTCAATTCCTTGTCCTTCGGCTGAAAATGTTACTCTCAATGGGACTGCAAAGCAAAGCTTGGTGATTGCGGATAAGTTGAGGAAGAGTTCCTATGAATTCAGGTTTAGATGCCCACCTTCCAATAATTATTGGCAAATGTACAAGTGGTATCTTCTAAATAAATCTTATGATAAATCTTACCCAAAATATTAATTAAAAACTGGGAAAGAATATGACCATGAGAAGCATGTGGTTTTATGTTAAGCATATTAGAATCTCAAATTTTAAAAGAGAATCATGTCTGCCAGAAACCAAAAAGTTAAATGGAATCAAGACATTGTAATATAATAAGGAAAACAACAACCGGAGACTAATTATCCCAGTGATTGGATTTAACCTCTTTGAATGTACCATGGACTGACTCACACATATCAGGGAAGTCGAAGTTGTTGTTGTACGTAATGAAAGTAGGAAGGAAAGTCAGTGCCTCATGATTTTAAATTAAGCAGTAGTTTTTGTTGTCTTCACAATAGAACCTTAGAGCCCACAAAGATGTACAAAATACAAATGACAGACCTATCTCTCTCAGAAAGTGGCACCTGAGGCAGAACCTCAAACAGAATATTCTGGATAAAGAGACTCCAGTAATAAAGCAAAATGACTCACTGTGGAAGTTACTAATAAGAAACTCAAAAGTCCTTTACAGGAGCATTGGCTTCATGTGAGAAAATAAAATTCAGAAGGTAGCATTCTCCAAGTCATCCTAGACAGTTCTTCTGTACTCATGAGAACTGAAACTCATCAATAAGTGCCAGGAGAAAGTGTTTTTGTAAAAAGCCAATGGAGGGGCTGGAGATGTACAAGGTCCTGGGTTCTATTCCCTGGACTGGGGAAAAAAAAAGGCAGAAAATACTATGATGACTTTTTAAATTGAGGATGATAATGATAATATTGTTAAGAATGGGCTCTAAGAGATGAAAACAATCATTTTTAATTTTTTTTTTGTAAAGTCTAGATGAAATCTTGCCAAGGGGGGAAAAAAAATCTTAACTTCTCCCTCATGGCAGCCTCATACAACTGCTGCTAAAGAATTCATCACCCCGTGTCAGATCTCATCTGAGCAAAATCAATGTCCTGTCAAACTGATTGACATCACACCCTTAAGTACACGAGAACAATTTGAACCACACCTGGGAGAGGGAGAGAGAGAGTGGTGGGGGAGAGACTGAGACTTCTTTAATAAAACAAAGACAAATGAGATCTGGGATTAAATTGTGTAGACCCAAAGATATTAAAAGCTACTCATATGATAATCTCAGAAGTATGTGGTTCAGTCTTCTTGGAATAGCTTTACTTATCAAAAAAAAAAAAAAAACCTCTCACCATAAAACTACATAACATTTAATATTTTTCTTAAAAGAAATATAAATGATCAATTGCGAATACTGCCCTTGATTTATTTTAGCATCACCAGGAGCAGAACTTTGGGAAGGTACTATGTTTTCCAACGACATAGATAAAAATCAGTAACAGCAGATCACTTCACCTGCTTCTGTAACAAATAACTAGATGTCTCAATTTGCCTCAATTTGAAATGATAGATTGTCGTCCCCGAAACACAGAGTCCCTGAATGCCACTAGATTTGTAATCTGTCAGTCAAGGGCAACCTTTTTTTACTCCCCAGTTGTATTCGAGGGAACAACCTGCATGGCATGGCTGCTAAATAAGGAATGATTTTCTTATATACCCCCAGAAAAAGTTAGAAACAGAGCAAGAGAAAAAGAAGGAATATGAAGACATTGAAACATACTTGCAGAAAAGATGAAGTCCTAGTCACGTACATGGAAAATGTCATATCACCATGAGAACCGAAAACACTGGTGACGACCAAGTCTTTTCTAACTTGGAGGATTAATTTGAAAGAAATCAGTGCCACAATAATAGTTTAAAGCGGCAATGAAGTAGAACATTTGTCCTTCTACACAGAAAAGACTCTGTAAGCTTTCCCAAGATGGCTCTGCTGTACATAACTGAACAGGGTAAAGAAAATGAGCAGTAGCTCTTTTGCCCTAGGGCAATGTGACATGTTGGAGGGGACAGAAGGCAGGCTTGCCACCGTTCACAAGCCTGGTTTACAATCATAGAAAGGTACATTCTAAAAAACTGCACCATCCAAAAATATTTAACCTTATTGTTATCACTATTAACATTGCTTTTAAAAATCAGATTGCATTTGATTACTTCTCTAAGGCTCTGATGAGAAAATTCGGTGCTGAAACTCAGTAATAATTGCTTTTGGTCTTTGCGCTTTCGAATCCAAAAATATTTATGAAACCAATAGAACAAAGAAATGAAGTAGATTGTTTATAAACAGGAAAGAGAAGGAAGATCTAAATCTTATGTAGAATGTGTCACGAGTACCAGGTAAGATGTGTTATCACAACAGCAAATTCTAAAATAAAGGAGTCCATGTCACTGGCAGCTAAGACGAGTCTGTCTTCTTAGAAGGGATGTTATATATCAAGTAATCTCAACTGACACAATTTTTAAAAAATGAATATCCCCATACGAAAGTAGAAGACAAGCCCCAGTGACAAAACTTGGTTTAGATTCACCCTAAAAAGGAAAAGTTGAGCTAAATCTTTCAGAATAAATTTTATAGGCAAAGCACAAATGCAAAATGGCTTTTGGGTAAATCAGATTTGTTTTTCCAAGATTCTATTGTAAAAAAAAATCACACATTGTCAAGAAAGTTCATGCTTTTCCTAAAAATAGACAATACTATAAATGTTTAAGAGGGAATGAAAATCTCCTTCAAGAAAAAAAAAAAAGCTTTTCATAAAACAGCATGATTGTCACAGAAAAGCACACCTTTTCTCTGAGAAAAACTAAGTGAAGCCAAACTGTTTCACCTACCATCAAACTTCTTGTGCCTCGACACAAAAGTGGTCCGCACAAAATGGCTGGTCTCTTCCACGAGGTTCTCAAATTCTAGTTTGCTCTGCTGGCTCAGCTTGTCTTCCATTTCTGTGGTGCAGCACGTGTATTCCTGAGGACAGATTCTTAAGTGTTCCCCTGCAATGAGAAGCATGAAAACATGAGTATGGAATGGCAAGGTTTTCTAGCAGATTCTGGAGATTTCGCATCTCTAACAGTTTACTGAACCCTGGGGTACCTCTCCCTTCTACTCCCCTACCCATGGGCAGGAGCTCTCTCTGGGCCTCAGCGTATCTGCAAACCCATTCCAAACACCTGAAGGACTTCGGTTGAACCTGGAGTTAGTTTCTGCACCCCACCATCATCATGTAAGCAAAGATGCCTTAAAACCCTCAAAACACCGTGGCTTTTTTCCCCACTTTTACTTGAAATGTACCAGGCAACACCAGATAACAAGATATGTCACAGTCTTAAGGGTGTTTGTCTTTGGAAACCACATCAAGGCAAAGGTACTGGGTTCCATCACATCAGTGGGTGAGAGCCTGTGGTAAGAGCTTCCTGTTATCTCTGCCAATCAGACTGTGGAAACAAATGAGCTCTTCACCAGGTGAAACCGACACGTGTTTTTAATGGCAGGTCTCCTGTAAACCGCACATTCTTTAGCTGAGATTTCTTGTCAGACAGAAAAATGTTCTCTTGGAAGGAGGAAGCCATTGAGGGGTTTAATTAGTGTTTATGTCATATGAAAATGTAGAATAAAAGGGAATAAAATATTTAGGGCAGCCGATTTATCTCTTGATCTATCAGGCCACTTCTTTTGATAATATTGCTTTCTTTGGTGCTATTTGCAAATAAAAGCCAATCCTTTACTTCATAAAATTAAAACAGTCTGTTGTTGCATGAGATGTGAGTTTCCAATTGATGTAGCTCAGCTTATGTCAAAAATGTTGATCAAGGCCTCTGGAGTAAAGAAAAAACCCCAATCAATGCCTTGCTAAATAAAATTTTAAAATGACCCCTGAGATTAAAGTCATTGCAGGGTGTTGAAAATCAAATGAACAATTAAAGATCACTTTCTTTAAATGGTCTTTAATAAAGATCAACAGATATTTGATGCTATGGTTAAAATTTATTTATAACACTTAACAATATGTATAAAAGAGTGCCCAGCTTGCATGAGACCGTATGTTCAATTCCTAGTATGGTTAAAAGAAAAAAAGAATGTCTTATAGCTTTCTGGGAATACAAGGTGTCTCATGGTTCTTCACATAGTTTGGTACTAAATGCCAGCTTTAAAAACCTGAAGATAAAACATGTTCTTTGTTAAAGATTTTTTAAAGAAAAATGAACTTTTATTAAAGATCTATTAATTCCTAGGTCCTTGATCCACTTTGAGTTGAGTTTTGTGCATGGTGAGAGATACAGGTTTAAATTCATTTTCTTGTATATGGATTTCCAGTTTTCCCAGCACCATTTGTTGAACAGGCTATCTTTTCTCCAATGTATGTGTTTGGCATCTTTTCTAATATAAGATAACTGTAATTATATAAGTTAGTCTCTGTGTCCTCTATTCTGTACCATTGGTCTACCAGTCTATTTTGGTGCCAATACCATGCTGTTTTGTTACTGCAAAAGTAGGCCCAAATAGCGATCATATTGGATTAGGCCCCCACTAGCTTAATAAGACTCCGATAGTGCAAGAATTAAAATCAAGATTCAATAAATGGGATGGATTCAACTAAAAAGTTTCATTTCAGCAAAAGAAACAATCAGTGAGGTAAATAGAGAGACAGCTTGGAAGCAAATTTTTACCACTTGCACATCAGATAGAGCACTAATCTTTAGGGTATATAAAGAACTCAAAAAGCTAAACACCAAAAAACCAAATAACCCAATCAATAAATGGGCCAAAGAATTGAACAGACAATTCACAGATGATATACAATCAATCAACAAATATATATATAAAAAAGTTCAATGTCTCTGTCAATTAGAGAAATGCAAATCAAAACTACTCTAAGATCTCATTGCACTCCAGTCAGAATGGCAGTCATCAAGAATACTGCAACAATAAGTGTTGGTGAGGATGTGGGGGAAAAGCCACACTTACACATTGCTGCTGGAACTGCAAAATGGTGCAGTCAATATGGAAAGCAGTATGGAAAACTGGGAATGAAACCACCTTTTGACCCAGCTATCCACTCCTCGGTCTATACCCAAAGGACTTCAAAACAGCCTACTGCAGGGACACAGCCATATCAATGTTTATTGCAGCGCAATTCTCAGTAGCTAAAGGGTGGAGCCAACCTAGATGTCCTTCAGTAGATGAATGGATAAAGAAAATGTGGTATATATACATAGTGGAATGTTACTCAGCAATAAGAGAATAAAATCATGGCCTTTTCAGGTAAATGATGGAGTTAGAGAAGATAATGCTAAGTGAAGGTAGCCAATCCCAAAAAACCAAATGCGGAATGTTTTCTCTGATATAAGGAGGCTGATTCATAGTGGGGTAGGGAGGAGGAGCATGGCAGGATTAGAAGAACTCTAGACAGGGCAGAGGGTTGGGAGGATAAGGGAGGAGGAATGGGGATAAAAATTCTTTCTAAGAATCTCTGACTGAGACATCCATTGTTCCCTAGGTTGGATTGTGGCTCCTCCTAGGAGTGATAGCCAAACTTGTTTAGCATTGTTATGCTCCTGTCTTGTTTGACTTGAAGATTTTGCCAATACCAAAATTAAGAGGATAGAACAATGTGAATTGTGAAATTCTTCCCCCGGCCAAAATTTTGATACTTATGTCCCACTGAGAAGCCTGGCTTGAGAGCTAAAGACACCAGGCAGGAGTGACTTTTTCAAAACCAAATGGTCTATGCATCACTAATTTACTTTTCCTAACTATTAAGCCTAATTGATGAGGATAAAACAAAACCCATGCACAAAACCTCTCAGTGTTCTAATGATTTTGTCATTCATAAATTCCTAAAAAAGAATATTATAATAAAGATGTGATCATGATCTGATTTTTTTTTTTTTTCATCTCCGAGTACTTTGGAAACAGGATATCCAGCAGAAGGACCCTTCATGGGGAAGACAGCTGATAAGGGCAGTGCATGATGTGAGAATATTTTCCAAAGCAAACATACTTTCTTCAGTGGAACACCCAATACTGGATTTGTGTGCATCACTTGGATAGCAGGTGATTTTCTCGATCTTTCAACACTACTTTGGTTAGTGTTTCCCCCCACCCCATGGACCTCAGTTAATTCCTTCTTTTCCTTCTTAACACTATAGAGGAAGCCCTCTTTATTTCTTTGCCTTGATATATGAATAATTCAAGAATTTCAGGAAGCAAAAACTGATTTTAACTTAGCATCATTTATGACCTGGGGCACATGATCACTATGTCAATCAGTGTTCTCAGATGAAATCCTTCCCCTATCCCTGCAATTCCTCTCTCTATGCTCGTCTATCTCTATCTCTAGTTTTCTTTCTATCAGGGTCCCAATAAAAAAAAAAAAAAAGAAATGAGAGCATTTTCATTTCTGCAAACAAGAAATTATTGCATTGAGATAGTAAGGCAGCCACTTAATACTCTTTCACGAACCAATACCTCTACACATACACACACACACACAGCCTATGAAATAATTTTGGTGTAAATATGTCCCACTAGGAATAAGCATCTTACTTCTACTTGACATAAAATACTGGTATTCTTATGGTGATAAGAGATTATAATGGCTCTTATCAGACATAATCTCATAAATGTAAATCCATGGGGTTTCTTCCACAAATTTCCCAAACAGAACTGCTCCCTTGGGGCAATAAAAAAAAATCATTTTATTTTGCTCAGTTTTTCTGAAAAAGCTCTAGCCCCACTGTAATAATTTAGAAGCAGAACACAGTGCTGATACGCTAGACATTGAGAAATGGACATTTTATGAGTATATAATAGAGTAGGCAATGGAGGAAGGGGATTTAGAAAATGGTTAAAAAAGGTCAGAGAATGCAGCATGCTGCAAAGTTGTTGATACTAAAGATCCACTGAATGTGGCCAGATATTTGAGATTGTCGACTGACCTCTAATAGCTATGTAATTAGGCTTTGAGCTATTATCTGCCAAACACATAGGCCTAATCTAGAGGGTAGAATGACATGGATTTGAGCATGTTTTCCCCTTCCTAGACACTAACTGCTTAGAAGAAAAACTTAAAACATCTAGATACCAGGATTACTCTGTCAGCTTAAGAATGAATCAGGTTCAGAGCTGCTCTAAATTTTTTTCATCTAAATCCAAGTCCATATCCCTAAAGGCTGGTTATTCTTTAACCTGCAAGTAGCTCTCTGTCCAGAAAGTACAGAACATCTATCATTCAGCAAGTAGCTATCATTTAACAAATCTATAATCTTGCTTCCTCTTTCATTCATTATTAAATCGTTCCTCACTTTTGAAGATTTCTTTATACTTTACTTTTTATTATATTATTTGAGTATTTTAATGCCACAATAGTCCTATTTCCAAATACTGAAGTTCTTTATTTTAATATTTCTAGTATGACAAGTGACATCCATATTAAGTCCACTAATGAGAGCTAAAATCAGACGTTCTGTGATTTGCCCTTTCTATTTCAAGCTATGTGATGTTAAGAGTGAGTTGGTTAATATCTCAATTGCTCTCCTGTAAAAATGAAATTAATGATATCAGATTATGGGATAAATCAGGGAAAAGGTTTAGCCTAGTGCCTAGAAAATATTAACTATAGCAGATATTCCAATTATCAACTATAGCAGATATTCTAATTCTAATTCTGTTGTCAAATATGAGGTTAGAAACCAAAATGCAAAACAGATTGAAGTATTGACTAAAAATTGTTCATTTATAATGATGTCAAATGTTACACTTTACCATTAGAAAATTCTAATAGTAAGCAATTGAACCAAACTCCACTTTTAAAAACACACAAAAAAATGAATAGATAAGAAGTATTAATTTCTTCAGGAAAATATGTGTCTCCTCTAATATCTCATTAATACTAAAATTAATAAGTATTTGATGCCAACAAAGAGTAATTCCTGGCACATGTATGCTCCCTTAATTCTTTTCAAAAAATTTTAGTGAACAAATAAATATGTGT